AAATTATTGAAAAAAGTGATGAGCGCACGCACACAACTTCAATTTCAAATGACAATTCAATTCGAGCGATCTTTCTAAGGCGCAAAGTTTAATAATACGTCGAGAAGTACTTAGAAACCATTATTTGAAGTAAATTTCAGTTAGAATTCCACTGAAACAATTAGATTTTTCGCTCTCGATTTCTATGAGGTGATAGTTGATGAGGCCGAAGGCCGAATCAACTATCACCTCATAGAAAACGAGAGCGAATAATCTAATTGTTAATTAGAGTAGGACTGTTAGAAAGTAAACTCAAATTTGTGTGTAGCACATTACATACTAGATGTTTTTCATACTTTGATAAAGAGATTTTACTCCAACTTACTAGACAGTGTGTTGTGTTTTTAGACAAAACACTCTCACTGCGCCTGCACTGACTCTTCCGTACAGTTACAAGTCCACCTGTCTTATGCTGTGCTAAACTGTAAGCAGTCTCCTTTTTGCTTGAAAATCCGTGAGGAAGAACGCAAAACAAGTGAGCGTGACATGTAAGCCGCGAGTCACGCTTGCTTAGGAAGACGAACTGCTTCGCATGTCACGCTCGCATGCTCACGACCGCCTACTCAGTTGTGCTGCTTCTTCCCCACGAGTTTTTAGGCAAAAGAGAGACTGCTCGCAGTCTAATGCTGAGTTACACTATGATCGCTAGAATGACGGAAAGTTAACTTACTGGAGTAGCCACAACAATTTCTGCTCCCTCTTGAAGTGCTTTGGACTGCTCATACTTGTTACCACCACCAAACACAGCTGCGGCATGGATGTTGTACACTTTTCCAAACCGCCGCGCTTCCACAAAGATCTGCTGGCAAAGTTCTCTTGTAGGAGCACAGATGAGTGCAATGGGCCCGTCGCCAGGCTCGAGCTCAGGTTGGTCCATGATATGAACCAACGCTGGCCACAAAAAAGCTGCGGTCTTGCCAGAACCTGTTTTAGCAATGCCGATGATATCTCGGCCACTGAGCGCTATCGGGATAGCCTGAAAAGAGAGTAAGGTTTTCATTAATTTAGGGAGTAAAGGGCTAGTTTATGAAGTAGACGGCTGACACCGGTCGAGTGCCAAAGGCACAGGCCTCTTAAGAGCTCCCCGAGAAAAGTTTGAAATCAAGAAGTTCTGAAATGCTATTTTATGCATTCTCTTCGAGATATTTCCCAACAATTTTGGAAAAGTCAAACTTCCAAGAATATCAAAGGATTACAAAGACTTTTCTTTTTCAACTTTTATCCTACAGCGCTAGCGTAACTGAAAACATACACCACACCCTGATCCCATGGCCCTTCTCAAGCTACAGCCTTAACTGTCCAGCCAGAGACAAGGACAGGCTAAGTACTGCAAGGGAATGCTTATAATTCGTACCTGACATTGGATAGGAGTTGGTTGTGTGTATTCTGACTTCCTGATTGCACCCATAAGCTGTTCATCAAAACTAAAATGTGCAAAACTAATGGATGGCCTTGTAGGCAGAGCTCCTGAAACCTGCCAGACAATTACAGCAATATTTACCAGTATATAACTTGAATATTGTAGTCATGTGATACAGAAGTCTTGGTTGGAGTACAAATTATTAGAAAAAGCCCAAAGAAAATATGCAACCTGATTGGTTAAAAATTATATTTCTATAACTTGATGTAAGCACAGAAAGGTTTTCTTCATCTTGTTGTTTGCTATTTTCTTTGGCTGTTTTCTAAAAAGGATACCGGTAGCTCTTAAATATTTTCTTTGTGTTTCTATCGAGTTATAGAGACACTTGTGAAAGTTTGGGAGGACTGGAAAAAGCTGCGGAAGCACTTGCCTATCGGCTCATGTTCCCACTGCTTTTCTCATTCTCCCAAGCTTTCACTCATGTTTCTATTCATGTATTCCTATTATATAGGAATACAGATTTTAAAAGTGACTATGTGATTTATGTCGGTATTTTGGGGAAGGCTTCTCTTCTCTCACAGTTGCTGCAACCTCTTCCATGGTAAAGGTAACATCTATGGCAGGCCAATGGCCCATAGAACCAGAGATGCTAGGCCATCATAGGGTTACCCCCAGCATTAAATTCAGCGGTACCCTGCATTTAATATACACCTAGGTGGAGAGAGGCACAGTGAGAATAAAGTGTACATGTATAGCCCAAGAACACCGTGCAACGACCCTGGCCAGGGCTCGAACCTGGACTGTTTGATCCGGAGTTCACTGCACTAACCATTAGGCTACTCTCACAAGATGTTGGAATATACCTTAATATATTGTGCTCCAGCATCCCTGCACTGTATTAAGAACACTTACTGCATCTCTTAACAAATTCTTCACTGGGTCATATCACTCATATCTATGTGTACCTTCATCCCTAATTTTCTCCTCAAGTCTTGCACCTCACGTTCTGTAAGCTTGGCTATTTCCTCATGTTCAATGTAAAAGTTTTTCTCAAATATTGGGTAGTCAATCTAAAATGAGTCAAAACAGAATTGCCACCAAAATCTAACTTTTAAAAACCAAGAGCACATTTTAAGTAAATTTAATTGGGAATTGCAATTAGCCCAAAGAATGACTGGCTATCAAGAGAGATATTTAGCATGGAATTTAGACTTCCAGTCAAGCATTTTCCAGGGAAATAACAGAAATACAACAGTATTGAAAAATACCATGTTTGTTTTACAGGAAGTTGAAATTAAACTTGATTATGAATTTGAAATTGACTTTCAAGCATGCACTGTGTTAACTACATGTAACATTAGATTTAGATCTAAAACTAGTTAAGTACATGATTCCAGGAAAATTCTTTAGACTTGAGAATTCCCCATTATATTTTACTTTAAAAAAATTTAAAGTTTTTGTATTGATACTTGTTTCCCCATAAAATACAAAATAATTAGATATTGATTGCATTTATTAAACAGGCGCAACAATGAAAAATACCTCTGAGTGATCCACTACTGGAAGTGGCACAATGATCTGTAAACAAAAAACAAATAAATCCAAACAGTAAATAACAGTAACAATGTCTCTAATTGACCAACATGTGCAAAAAGTTTTCAAAATACAGATGTAAAAACATACAGTTACTATAAGTTTACAAAGAAAAAAAATGTTAGTACAAAGTTACTATCCAGGAGGCTGTTGATTCAGCTGGGAGATGTCTGTCCCTGTTTTAATCAGAGCAAAGTTAACATCGGGCAGGTAACTGCCAACTTTTTAATTTGGGAAATCACTAGCATAGTCACTACAAATTTTCATTCTTTGATCAACTGCCCAGTACAGTTTGCATGTACAATGTACATATTAATTCATTATCACCACATGCACATGCAGATTAGGGAGCTTAAGTACATGTAGCTAAGATGGCAATGCTGACGACAACGTCAGCAATATACTCTTAAGTCATTTAGTTTGTTTCTCTTTGTCAAAGCTATCTGGAAACTGATTATGCAACACAGGGTAAAATTCAAAACATAAGGTTTAAAATTTAGAATCTGGACATTTCACATTGTTGTTTTACAGAGGAAAAGCCAAAAAATATAACAAGAATTACAATACACGTGCACAGCTATTGTATTGCTCATTACACCTTTTGTTTAACAACATTCCCATTGCCACTGTCATTGTGATTTTGTTTCAACTCCCTATTATTTGGAACATAATTCAACACCTTTGATTTCTCTGGAGCAATGGGATTGCCGTCACTGTCATACTCAATTTCTTCCTCGTCATCAGGATAAGCAACTACAGGAGCATTCTTCACGTAGTTGAAATACGACTCATGGTCATCTTCATCCTCAATGTCATCTCTTCTAATCCTGGTGTATTTTGCATATTTTCACATTATTAGCACAATTAAAAAGAGACTAAACAAATTATATTTACTAGTTTAATAACACGCATTGGTAATTATTTCATAGTTTTAATACAAAAAAGTTCAAATGAAAATATGTTGTTCAGGATGCAAAGAATTTCCAACTTTCCTTTTGGCCCAATTAGTCTTAGAGATGTTGAACAAGTGAATATACTCAAGGCCTTTCTCACTGATCTGAGTTTATCACTGCAAACATCTAAAAGTGGCAAATTACTACCTGGCCGATGGGCAAGCAATAGACCTTTAGCAATGGCTCTTAAATTTGAATAATGTTCAATACTTACACATCATAAGCCTCATATTCACGTAAAAAAAATCCTTTGACTAGAAATTTAAGTAAGAGGCTAAGGATGTACAAAGTGTTGTTATTCAAATTTAGGCACCA